AGTCCTTAAGGGAGCTACAGCCACACGGAGAGAAGTTAGTAACACGGTGGTTAAGTCAATCTTACTTCCCCGTTGACTTTGCTTCTCAAGGAGGTCACAAAAGGGGATCACCTGATCCCGGGACACTGCAGCCATCCCAAATATGAGTCAGTTGCCAAGCCTCTGAATTTTGATCACGTGACCCTGGGGAGGACGCAAAAGTCATAACTGTGTAAAACGGCCGACAGCCGCAGTTGTAACTTTGAACGGTCACTAAATGAACGGTGGTAAGCCGAGGACCACCTGTAAAGACACAGCAGAAATCCTGCCTTCATCTCCCCACCCGTCACTTTGCAGCCCGGATGCGAAGCCCCTCCCCTCTTTCCACCGGCAAGCAGATGCAAACGAAAATAAAATAAAGGATAAATTAATGCGCTCAGGATTTTAATGCACAGCTTAGAATGTCACTGCCTCTCCTGCTGCCTGAGTCGGTCTTCTGTTTAAATTTTTGTCTTCCTTAACAGCGGCGGTGGTAGCCGCTCCAGAGAGATGTCCCTCATCGTGTCCGTATTTGGGGGAGGGGGGGGGCTGGCGTCGTCCGGCCGCCTCATTTGAAGATCTTGCCTTGGTTGAACGCTTTCCCGACGTGCTTGAAGTCGCCTTCCCAAGTGAAGTACTCCTTCACCAGCTCCTTGCACTCCTCGCTGTCCGGGTCCACCTTCCGCCAGGTGTAGGATTCGTAGTCCACCTGCCAGTCAGGGCTCAGCTGAGGAACAAGATGAGAGGAGAGGAGGGCGTGAGGAGGGGGAAGAAAGGGGACTGCGCCCTTCCCCGTCTTGCTGAGGACCCCCACAAAGGCAGAAGTATAACACTGGGGCTTGCTAACCAGTGGAACAGCTCGCCACCGGAAATCGTGGGGCTTGTCTGAAATGGTATAGGTTCTCCTGCTCGAGCAGGGGGCTGGACTAGAAGACCTCCAAGATCCCTTCCAGCTCTATTCTATTCTATTCTATTCTATTTTCTATTCTCTTCTATTCTCTTCTATTCCACTCTACTCTTCTACTCTATTATTCTATTCTCTTCTATTCTCTTCTATTCCACTCTACTCTTCTACTCTATTATTCTATTCTATTCTATTCTATTCTATTCCTTTCCATTCCATATTCTATTCTATTCCACTCTACTCTTCTACTCTATTATTCTATTCTATTCTATTCTATTCTATTCTATCCTATTTTCTATTCTCTTCTATTCTCTATTCCACTCTACTCTTCTACTCTATTATTCTATTCTATTCTATTCTATTCTATTCTATTCTATTCTATTCTATTCTATTCTATTCCACTCTACTCTTCTACTCTATTATTCTATTCTATTCTATTCTATTCTATTCTATTCTATTCTATTCTATTCTATTCTATTCTATTCCTTTCCATTCCATATTCTATTCTATTCCACTCTACTCTTCTACTCTATTATTCTATTCTATTCTATTCTATTTCTATTTCTATTCTAACTACATGATGCCAAGGAAGACGTTCACTAGGTCCTGAGGTGCAAACACAGGCAGTCCTTGAATTATGATGACCACCATTGAGCCCAAATTTTCCACTGCTAAGCGAGACAGCTGTTAATGGAGTTTTCCCTTCCTTGCTAGTTGTTAAGCGATTTCACTGCTTAATTTAATTTAAATGGTATAAATGGGATAGGGTCTCCTGCTTGAGCAGGGGGTTGGATTAGATGACCTCCAAGGTCCCTTCCAACCCTGTCCTTCTGTTACTTAGTTCTTAAATGACTCAGGCAGTTGTTAAGCAAAGCTGGCCTTCCCCCACTGACTTTGTTTGTCAGAAGGTTGCAAAAGGGAATCCCATGACCCCAGGGACACTGCGAACGTCATCAATATGAGCCATTTGCCAAGCGACTGGATTTTGATCACGTGACCCCGGGGAGGCTGCAACTGTCGCAAGTGTGCAAAATGGCCATAACCCACTTTTTTCCAATGCTATTGTAACGTCAGTCATTATTAAACGAATGGTGGCAAGTTGAGGACTGTCTGTAATTGTTCTAGATTAATGGTGACGTTTGCTCTCAGAGCAATATGGTTTGATCCTGGCTTAGAAGGCAGGAAGCTCGACCCCAGGCCTAAGAAACCGTTGCATTGTTTTGCTCGTGGCCCCAAGAAGTGAAGGGACCAGAACACAGGACATAGGCTTGCTGGTAAAGTAGATGTAATGGCTTCCCTGGGCGCCGGCTGGGGCACGCAAGGGCTGCCTCTGGGGAAGTTATTACAGTAGCAACAGCAGCGTGACATCCAATATTTTTGGGCAGAGGCAGAAGAGAAGGAGCAGCCAGGATCATCACGGTGTGTGAGTGGAATGGATGCCCTTTGGACATTTGAAAATGCCTCTCTGTGGAATAGAGCAGGGCTTTTCAACCTTTTCACCCATTGTACCACTTTTAGGATACGGCAACATCCGAGTACCACCAGCCGCCTAGCAAGGGGTCAAAAACTTGATGACCCCCCCCCAAAAAAAGGAAAAAAGTGATGAAGTACTGGTAGTCCTGGACTTACAACAGTTCGCTTAGTGACTGTTCAAAGTTACAAGGGCACTGGAAACAGTGCCCCCCAAGCCACAGCTGAGCAAGACACCTGCCTGCCCGCCCGGCGGCGCTCTTCCTCCTGTCCGAAGGTTTCCATTGTTGTGAGCATTTCTATTGAGGATTGGCAGCGGGGGTGGGGTGGGGGCTTTTTGGTTTTTATTCCCCCCGTCTGCTGGGTGGTTGCAGCAGGTTTTGGTCACTTCACATGACCCTGGGACACTGTGACCGTCACAAGACCCTGGAGATGCTGCAACATTCCAGCTGATCGGCGCTTCTTCTGGTCCCAGCAGAAGCGCCAGGATCAGTGCTGCTTTCCAGCTGATTGGTGCTTCTTCAGGGCTCAGCAGAAGCACCAGGATCAGCGCCGAGCTCCAGCTGGATCCTGGTGCTGATCCTGGCGCTTCCGCTGAGCCCTGACAGCCCTGCAGCTCCAGCCGTCTCTCGCTCAGGCTTGTGCGGTGCTGCCACCGGTTCAGCTCATTCCCCTCCCCCACTACCACTTTTCTAGGATGGTCGCGTACCCCCTGCCAGGTGCCAATGTACCCCAGGTGGTACCCATACCACTGGTGGAAAAGCCCTGGAATAGAGGACCTCATCCACAGCTGGCACACCCAACCGCTCCCTCCCTCCCAGTATAGGTTCTGGAAGTTTCGTAAACCGTGAAGGGCCACCAACGGCGGATCCCTCTTTTAGGGAAAGCTTAGTGAGCCCAAAAACCTTTTCTCCCTGTTTTAAGAGGTGGAAAAAGTTCTGGTGGTTGAGCTTCTCCTCTAACCCAGGGGTCAAATTCTAGTCCTGATGATGTTCCCTAGTTGGGTCATGAAACGCCTGCAAGAAATTCACCAAGCTCAGACAAACTCCTTTGGCAACAGCTGCGCTTTCCTGGTTTCCCCTCTTGCAGCACCCGGGGCCAGACCGACCCTCAGACTCACCGGGAAGGCGAGGTCCTGTCCGCGGAAGACCCAGACGCCGGAGATGCTGCTGTCGTTGTTGGTGCCGAAGAGGATGACGGACGCGAAGGCGTTCTTGCGCAGTTTGTCCAAACGTTGGAACATGCCTGTGGGAAGAAGCAAAGAGGGTGGGGATTAAAGGTCGGGCCAAGCTTGTAGCATAATTAAAAGGGGGGGGGTATTGGGGGTGGTGGTGGTGGAAAGGAGGGGGAGCTTACCAGTGATAAGGTTGCAGCTCATGAAAGTCTGGGCCAGCTCCTCCGGAAAGCGGTACTCTGCGTACCAGATGGACCAACCGCCTTTGTCGAAGTGCTCCCAGAAGTGGGGAAGGGCCACTTTCAGGGTATCTTCGTTGGAATACTTCCGCTTAAATTCGTCCATGCTGAAGGGGCTGGGGGGGAATGAACAAGAGGGCTGCAGCATAAGAAAAGCAGG